AGAACCACTGCGACGAGCGTGGTAGGGTAATAGGGTACTAGAAACAGGCGTCAGGTAGGGCTCGCCTCCCGCTCAAACACCTCACAGAAGCACCGGACCATCGCGTCCTCGACCTCGTCGACTGGAACGTCCCGTACCACCTCGCGTTCGAGCGACGTTATTCCCCGGTTCGGAATGCCGCACGGCACGATCAGGTTGAAGTCTTCCAGATTGGTGTTCACGTTGAACGCGAATCCGTGGCTGGTGATCCAGCGGGAGATCCGCACACCAATCGCCCCGATCTTGTTCCTCCCGATCCAGGCGCCCGTCAGCCCCTCACACCGCTGCGCCGCCAGACGATAGTAGGCGCAGGCGCGGATCATGACCTCTTCGAGGTCACGAACATAGCGGTGCACATCGCACAGCGATCAGGACGCAAGTCCATGATCGGATACCCGACGACCTGCCCGGGGCCATGGTACGTCACGTCGCCGCCACGTCCGGTTTCGCAAATATCGACACCGAGCTTTGTGAGGAGCGACGCGGCAGCGACGACATGCGACCGACCGCCGTCGCCCTTGACGCCAACGGTGATCACGGGAGGGTGTTGAAGGAGGAGGAGAAGATCCGGCACGTGGCCCCCGCGCCGCTCTTCAACGAGCGCGCGCTGCAGGTCAAGGGCCTCCTGACAAGGCCTCCTGATATCGAACGCCGCCCAACCAGCCCAGCAGTTCTCGATAAAGCGGCTTGGGCACAGACCGCTAGATCCGGTTTTGCTCGAACTGTTCGATGTTCCGCTTGACGTCTGCCATGAACTGATCCGCGACAGCCCCGTCAATCAGTCGGTGATCGTAACCAAGCGTCAGGTACGCCATCGTTCGGATCGTAAGGCCATCGTCGACAACAACTGGCCTCTTCTCGACGGTGCCCACGCCCAGGATAGCCACTTGGGGCTGGTTGATAATCGGCATGCCAAACTGCGCACCGAGCTGGCCAGGATTCGTGATGGTAAATGTACCGCCATGCACCTCGTCCGGCGTGAGCTGCTTGGCACGGGCACGCGCTGCGACATCCGCGATGGCGCGGCTCAGGCCCAAGAGATTCTTCTCGCCGGCGTTCTTGATCACCGGCACGATTAGGCCGGTCTCAAGCGCCACCGCGATCCCGAGATGCACGTCCTGTTTGTAGACGATCCTGTCACCGTCCAGCGACGCATTCACGATCGGGTGCCGCCGAAGTGCGTCGATCACCGCCCTGGCGATGAACGCCATGTAGGAAAGCTTGACGCCGAGTCGTTCGTACTCAGCCTTCTTCGCGGATCTGATCCGCTCGATATCGGAAAACCCTACGTGAAAGACCGTATGCACATGGGCCGACGTCTGTTTACTGAGGACCATGTGCTCCGCGATCTTCTTGCGCATCGCAGATAGCGGCTGGACCTCGACGCGCTCGTCGCTGTCTCGCACGGGCCGGGGATCTCCGTTCTCCCGATTTCTCCCCCCCGCCGCCAGAAACGCGAGAATGTCCTTCTTCGTAACGCGGCCACCGAGTCCAGACCCCGTAATCCTGGCCACATCGACGTTGTGTTCTCGCGCAATTCGACGAACGAGCGGCGACGATCTCTGTTGCCGGGAACCGCCGGCCGTGGCCTCACGCGACACCACGACCGAATCGCGAGCAACAGCCACCGGAGGGGCGACGGGCGCTGGGGCGGATGCGTGAGCGTCAGGTGGTTCAGTCTTGACATGCGGGGCACCCTGGGCCGCCTGTTCGCCGATCACCTGGATCGTGCCCACGACGCTATCCACCGAGACGGTGTCCCCCTCCCTGGCGAGGATCTCGGTGAGCACGCCTTCAGATGGAGACGGAATCTCTGCGTCAACCTTGTCGGTGCTGATCTCGAATAGCGGCTCGTCGCGGTCCACATGGTCGCCGACCTTCTTGATCCAGCGAACGATCGTGCCTTCAGCGATCGATTCGCCCATCTGGGGCATGACGATGGGAGTGGGCATGCTTTGGTCTCGGGGCTGTCGTCTCGCTGGTCTACACGTGAATGGCGGCACCATGGACCGCGTGGGCGGCCTCGCCAACGGCCTCCGAAAAGGTCGGGTGCGCGTGGATCGTCTTCATCAGCTCCTCGACGGTGCATTCGAGCCGCAACGCGAGCGCTGCTTCTCCGACGAGTTCCGTGGATCGTGGGCCGATCATGTGAACGCCAAGCACCTCATCGTACCGCTTCTCGGCCACGATCTTCACGAAGCCCGCCGTCTCACCCGCCATCTTGGCACGCCCAAGCACGCCGACCGGGAACGCGCCGACACGCACATCGAAACCACGGCGCGTGGCCTCCGCCTCAGTCAGGCCCACGCTCCCGATCTCCGGGTCACAGTAGGTGCAACTCGGCACATGGTCGTAATTGAGCGGGTGAATCTCCTGTCCAGCCAGTCGCTCGGCCACCAGCACGCCTTCGGCAGACGACACGTGAGCCAGTTGAGGGTGCGCGCGTTCTTCGAGCGCGATCACGTCGCCGATGGCCGAGATGTTCGGCACCGACGTGCGATACATCGCATCGACCCGGATGTATCCGTTGTCCATCTGGACGCCCAGCGCCTCGGCCCCAAGGCCGGCCGTGACAGGACTTCGGCCTGTCGCTACGAGAAGCACATCAACCACGAAGCTTTGGCTCTTGCCTTCGGGCCCTTTCACCTTTACCCTCACACCCTTGGCGTCCGACGTGACGCTAACCACTTTCGAGCCGGTGAGCGATCGAATGCCCTGTTTCTTGAACGATTTCTCGAGCTCGGCCGACACCGCATCGTCTTCCCCCGGCACCAGGCGCGGTAGCAACTCCACGATCGTCACTTCGCTCCCGAACCGACGGTAGATGGAGGCGAACTCAACGCCAACGGCTCCGGCTCCTAGGACGACCAGCGACTTGGGAACCTCTGCGAGGTGTATCGCATCATCGCTCGTCACAATCCGAGCGTGATCGATCTCAATACCGGGCAGTGCCCGTGGTGACGACCCCGTGGCGACGATGATGTCCATGGCTTCGAGCGCCTGCGTCTCGCCTTCGAATACGTCAACCCGGCTGTTGCCAACGAGCCGCGCCGTGCCCGTGATCCGATCGATTTTGTGCTTCTTGAAGAGGAAGTCGATGCCCTTGGTCAGGCTAGTGACAATTTTGTCTTTACGCTCGTGTACCAGCCGCATGTCAAGGGCCGGAGCGCCGTACGGCAAGGCAACGCCCCAGTCGCTCGCGTGCTGAAACATCTGGAAGGCGTGCGCGTGCTCGAGTAACGCCTTGGTTGGGATACAGCCCCAGATCAGGCAGGTACCTCCGAGCGACTGCTGCTTCTCAACGACGGCGACCTTCTTTCCGAGTTGAGACGCACGAATCGCCGCCACATAGCACCGCGGTATACACCCGCACCGATGACCACCACGTCATATGGACTCGGCACTAGTACTACTTTGTTAGATCTGCAGTTTCACCGTGCGCAAGGTCTGGATTCGCTTGAGGTACTGCGGTCGTTGGGCGAACAAATAGGCCGTGAAAATCTCCTGCACGATGGCGCGGATAGTAGGGAATGTGAGTGCGATTCGTCGCCGGCGCCGCTCGGCTTGCAGGAAGTTGTAGGTGATCGCCGTCAGGACTACGTGGTGGTGCCAGCCGGGGAACGTGCGGCCTTCGAAGTGGTCGAGGCCGAGTTCGGTCTTCAGCTCTTGGTACTGCTGCTCGATCGCCCACCGGTGATGGGCGATGCGCACGATCACCTTGAGCGAGGCGGTCACCGGCAGGTTCACCAAGTAGTACTTGGTGCGAGGCGTGGTCCCGAGGTCGCGCTCGCAGAGCAACCAGACCTCGGGGGGCAGCCGGCGCTGCCGCCAGTCGTGGGCGGGGGTGACCCGCAGCGCCAGACACTGGACCGTCCACCGTCGACCATCGTTGCCGTTGCGCCAACTGACGCGGTGCCAGGTCGTCTGCTCGGCTGCGAGGGTGGCCACGCTGCACGGCTGGATGCCCGGCGGCAGGCGTGGGCGCGTCCGGGGACGTCCTCGCGGGTTGGACGCGGGGCGGCGCAGGCGCGGCGTGCCGCGGAAGACCGTCAACGGCGACGAAATCCCCACGGCATACGGCAGCCGCCACCGATGCAAGGTCGCCCGAAAGACGCTGTTGTCGCCGAACTCGGCATCGGCCAGCACCCCGCGGAGCTGGAAGCCGCTGGCGCGCACCTGGCGGAGCAGCGTCAACGCTTGCCGCCACTTCTCCTGAAACGCCACGTCCGCCGGCACGCGGGCCCGCTGCCGCGCCGCCGGTGTCAACCACGCCGTCGGCAAGTAGAGGGCCGCGCCGAGCAGATACGCGCGCGCTTCGGTCCAAAGGGCCACCGTCACGGCGACCTGACAGTTGGCGACCTTGCCCAGCGTGCCGCAGTACTGGCGCGCGACCCCGACCGAATGCACGCCTTGCTTCGGAAAGCTCGTCCCGTCGACGATCAGCCACCCCTCGCGCTCGGGGATCACGGCCCGCAGCCGACGCCAGACGCACGCCGCGTCCCACGGCGAGTCGGTGATGAAGTGCTGGAACGCCTGATACGCCCCCGGATCCGTCACGCGCGCGAGCATCGCCTCCATCGACTTCCGCGCGCTGTCGCTGAGCAGCCCCTGTACGTAGCGCCGCAACGCGAGCACCTGCGCCCGGTGGCCGAAGCACTCCTTGAACACTTCGAGCCACGCCATCAGCCGACGCAACTGCGAGACCGCTTGACGGTCGGGCACCGTCGGACAGCGTACCGAAATCGCGCGATCTGTACAATGTCCTCAAATCAGATCACTTTCGGGAAGTGACAAAGTAGTAGTAGCAGCCCGTGGTGAAAGTCCGGCGTCGCACCGAGACAAGCGAAGAGCCTCGCGCGGATTCTGCTCGGTCGTGGCACGCCTGCGGAATCCGCGCTCGCGGACTGGGCGCGCCGACTGGGAATATCGCCGGTATTCGAGGGTGGAGCAACGCAGGTCGCGAGGATGCGTCGCTCGTCGAATGAAGGCGGGTTTTTACCACGGGCTGCTGGTTGCCCTCGGCAGGGGCTAGCCCTCTGGAGACTGGCACTGTCGGCACTAGCAGTGTGTAGGCTGGCACTCGATCAACTGACAGTTGCGACGAGCCCCCAGCGCGCTCACGGCACACAACCGTCAACGCTTCAACGAACTGAGCGGAACGAATCCGCCGGTCTGTTGCTCCGGCGGCGACGGCTGTGCAGGCGTTAGTATCACCTTCAAGTCGCTGTGCCAAGCGCACGCCGAGCTCACCCTGCTGATACTTCAACTCCCAGTACATTTCCGATAGCTGAGCGAGACGCTTTGCGGTTCGTCGTGCCTGACCCCAGGCCACGAGCGCGACGAACATTGACGCGCCCACGACGAACCACAGTAGGGTCATAGCAGCAAATCTCTTTCCGCCCGGTACCTTATCGAGTGCAATCTGGAAGTGTCAAGGAGCGCGTTATACTCGCGTCCCGCATGTCTGAACGCAGAAAATCCGTCCTCGTGGTCGACGGTGACGCGGAGGTACGCGAGCCGCTGGCTGAGGCCCTGCAGCGCGACTACCACGTGCTGCGCGCGGCGACCGGCGAAGTGGCCCTGCAGATGATGGAGAAGGCGGATGTCGAGCTGATGCTGCTCGACGTGGATCTGGCCGGTATCGGCGGGATTTTCGAACGTCCGCAAATCACCAAAGAGACATTCCCTACGTGGAGGTGATCGTCATCTCCGCGACCAAAGAACTCGACGCCGCCATCGAAGCGATGCGCCACGGCGCCTACCACTACATCTCGAAGGACTCAGACATCGACGGGGTGCGAAGTCTTGTCGCCCACGCAGGCGAGCGCCAAGACCTCAACCGGCACCTGATGCGGACGGCGGGCGGAAAAAACCAACGCACGAAATATCAAAGCCTCAACACCCCTAACCACATATCAGGGCCGGCGGGACCCAATTACATTACAAAGCACAAACTAAATAACCCCCCTACAAATAAATCCTCGCCGACACCAAAAAATATACAATATCCATCACCCGTTCTCTTACTTCATACTTTCACATAACAAATCCGGAAATGACCCAAGGTAAATACATAAAACACATCACAAGCTCACAGGATACAGATACTCACAAATAAGAACGCTCTCCAAAAAATATCACAACCAACAAAACAAGGCCACCACAAACCATATCCCCCGCCAAAAAACAGGCAGTCAAATACCCCAATACACCCACCCCCCACGCAAAAATACTCCAGTGCTCGTACTTCCTTCCCTTGACTTGAACACATCATACAATAACAAAAACACCCACATATCATCCAAAATAATTAACAAGCTGGTAACCCCCTCCGCAACTTCTTAACTAACAACACAAACCCTCTCAGGAATACATCCTTCTAAAATAAAAAAAACTACTTTTTAAAAAACAAGGGAGCAACCACTCCTTCCCTTCAACTCAATAACACACACCCATACAAATAAACAAATGGAAAACAGAACACCAATACAAGACAAGTACACTTACATACATAACTATTCCAAAACAAAATACAGCATAAATACTATTAAAGGAAAAAAACAAGCCCAAAACAAAAAAAAAACATAATATAAAAAAAAAAAAAAAAAAAAATATCAAAAAAATTAAAAAAAAACAAAAAAAAATAAAAAAAAAAGAAAACTAAAAAAAAAAAAAAAGTTTTTAAAGTCGCGAAGGGCAGGTTGACCGTGATTCGTCGATGGGCCCCGAGCCGCAGTACTCGGACGTCGCGACCCTGTTCGAAGGTGGCGGCCCTCCCGGCGACGGTCTTGATCCTGGGCGAGAGCGGCACCGGTAAGGAGTTGCTCGCCAGACTTATTCACCGCGAATCTGGTGCTGAGGACTCGCCATTCGTCGCGGTCAACCTTGCCGCCATTCCGAACGACCTTGTGGAGAGCACCCTCTTCGGCCACGAGAAAGGGGCGTTCACCGGCGCCATTCGTCAGCAGCTCGGTAAATTTGAACTTGCCACCGGTGGAACGTTGTTTCTCGACGAGGTCGGCGACTTGCGCTACGAGTTGCAAGCCAAGCTGCTCCGCGCCATTCAGGAGGGCGAGATCGAACGGGTGGGTGGCACTCATGCAATCAAGACCGACTTCCGCCTCATCGCCGCCACCAACACCGACCTGAGCAAGGCGGTCAAGGCCGGCACGTTTCGCGAAGATCTGTTTTACCGATTGAACGTGATCCCGATACAGCTGCCGGCGTTGCGAGATCGGATCGAAGATGTGCCCGAACTGGCCAGGTTCTTCCTGCGCCGCTTCAACGTCAAGTTCAGGAAGGATATTCAGGGGATCGCCGACTCGACGCTTCGAATTCTCGGCTCCCACTGGTGGCCGGGCAACATCCGGGAACTGGAGAACCTTGTCGAACGCCTCGTTGCGATATCAGACAAGAACTGGATCACCGACGAGGACCTGCCCATCGAGTTTCACGTCGCGCAGCTGAACTCCGCACAACCGGCGGTGGACCATCTGCTGGACCGCGCGGTCTCGACGTTCGAGCGCAACTTCATTATCCGAGCACTCGAGAAAGAGGGGTGGAACGTCACCGCGACCGCACGGTCGCTGGGTATCCCTCTCAGCACGATGAAGTTTAAGATGGACCGCCTTGAGATCAGAGCCCTAGCCCGCAAGCGGCGCGGCAACTAGCGCGCCCGCTAGGGCGCGGCACTTAGGCCTCTGATCAAAATTAGATGATCAAGTTGGCCGCGGACGAAGTTCATAGTTCCAATCGCCGTGGAAGGCGTGCGGACGGAGGGCGAGGCGGCGCATTTCGGTCAAGGGCACGACGAGGCCGGTCTGGTAGCGGCGCTTGTCGAGTCTCGCGCGCACGCGGAGACCGGTGGCGGTGCGGGTATGGCCGATCAACGCGACGAGGGTCTCGAAGGTGCGGAGCGGACGCCCACGCCAGTTCTGCGTGATGTGACAGAACAGCCGGTGCTCGATCTTGTTCCACTTGCTCGTGCCGGGCGGAAAGTGTGAGACATGGATGCTGAGGCCCACGTCATCGGCCAGGCGCTGCAACGCGGTCTTCCAGCCGCGCGTGCGATACCCATTGCTGCCGCCCGCGTCGGCGGTGATGTAGAGGGCATCCGCCGTGGGGTACGCCTGCCGCCCCATCATGCTCCACCACTGCCGGATCGACGCGACGGCAAAGGCCGGCGTGTCGTGGTCGCGACCCACGCTGACCCACGCTTCATTTCGCGCCATGTCGTAGACGCCGTACGGAATCGCCTTGCCCACCGCGTCACCGGGAAAGTCGTGCACCCGGACCCGTTCTGGGGCACCAAGCGGCTGCCACTCGCGCCCAGCATTCTTGAAATCCCCGACCAATTCTTTCTTTTTCGTGTCGACCGAGATGACCGGCTGCCCGCGCGCGATGAACGCGCCGGCCGTCGCATTGATATGGGCGAACTGCGCGTTCCGATCGGGATGCGCGGCGCCTTCGCGCGCCTTCTGCAACGCGTGCAACCGGTAGCCCAACCCTCGGAGCAATCGCCCGACGGTCGTGGCGCTGACCTCATGATCCTACACATCTCGCATCATCCGACGGACTGGGCACTTGCAATCGCCGATCGGACGTGATCTAAAGGGAGCCTCACATCCAGAGGAGGCTGCCGATGGCCCAATCGAGCACGGACGTCGTGGAAACGCGCGCGTCGCTGCGGGAAGAGATGGCCGGGGGCGATCTCGGCGATGACCGGCTCAACGCCCGTCGCGATCGGCTCATCGACGTCCTCGAGCAGTCGCCGGACACGGGGTTCCCGGCAGCGTGTGCGAGCGACGGCGACGTGGAGGCGCTGTACCGCTTCCTTCGGAATCCGCGCGTGTCGCTGCGCGCGGTGCTCGAGCCGCATCTAGCGGCGACGCAGGCCCGCTGTCGCGCCCTGGACGAGGTGCTCGTGATTCACGACACGACGGAGTGTTCGTTTGCGGGGGCGCAGGTCCGGGCGGGGCTCACCCCCCTGGGTCCGCGGCGACAGGGCTTCTGGGTCCATGCGGCCCTGGCCGTGTCGGCCGAGGGCCTGCGAGCCCCCTTGGGCTTGGTGTCCGTGCTGCCGTTTGTCCGGAAGGCCGCCCCCGGCCGTCGCCCCAAGCCCCACTGGCGCGAGCGCTTTCGGGATCCGGACAAGCTTAGCCGGCGCTGGCCGGCGAGTGTGACCGCCGCCCGTGCCCGTCTAGGCGCCGCCCGGCGCGCGATCCACCTCATGGACCGCGAAGGCGATAGCTACGAGCTGTTGGCGACCATGGCGACCCACGGCGACCGCTTCGTGGTGCGTCTTCACTATGATCGGCGTGTCGTGCCCGACGGGGAGGTCCCGGCCCCCGGCCGGCTCCGTGAGGCGCTGCCGCGGACGGACGTGCGGATCGAGCGCGAGGTGGCGCTGTCGCCGCGTCGCGTCAACGCGCAGCGGACGCCGTTGCTCACGCGGCAGCCGCCGCGCGACGGCCGGGTGGCCACGTTGCGCTTTGCCGCGCGACCGGTCACCTTGCAACGGCCCCGTGATCATCGCGCCCCCCTCCCGGCCACGCTCGCGGTCAACGTCGTGTATGCGTGGGAGGTCAATCCGCCCGTCGGGGAGCCGCCGGTCGAGTGGTGGCTGGTCACCACAGAGCCCGTCGAGACCGCCGACCAGATCCTGCAGGTCGTGGACTGGTACCGCACCCGGTGGCTCATCGAAGAGTTTTTCAAGTGCTTGAAAACCGGCTGTGCCTACGAGAAGCGGCAACTCGAAAGCCTCGACACGCTGCTCGTCGCCCTCGCGTTACTCGCGCCCATCGCCTGGCAGCTCTTACTCCTGCGGCACCTGGCTCGCGCCCTCCCAGACGCGCCCGCACGGGTGGCACTCACCGCGCGGCAGATTCGCGTGCTGCGCGCCGTCGGCGGCACGCTCCCCCAACGGCCGACGACCCGAGACGCGTTGCGCGCGGTGGCGCGCCTTGGCGGCCATCTCCGACAGAATGGGGAGCCCGGCTGGCTGGTGCTCGGTCGCGGGATGCAGAAGCTCCTTCGCATGGAAGCCGGCTGGGCAGCCGCCGAGCAAGCCCGAGGATGTGATCAATCATGAGGGCGCTGACGGGCCACCCTTGTGTGGTCAACGCCCCCGCCAGTTTCGCCGCACTTTTGCACGTCCACCGCAAGGGCGACATCGGATCCCCGCGGGTCAGCGGCTCGACCAGCAGGTTCAAGGCTTCCGTGACACCGGGCTGCGTCTGTTCAATGTCAGGGCGCCCGGCGCCCGGTCGGCGGATCCGTCCCCCCGTCGTGACGCCGGCGGCCAATTCCAGACGTCCCGCGCGGACCGTCGTCCGCGACAACCCGGTGGCGGCCGACACGACCGAATCGCCACCGTAGCCCAGCGCCGCCGACTCAGCCGCCGCCCACAAGCGTCGCCCGCGCTCATCGAGCACCGGGGCCATCACCACGAACTTTGCCACCAGCAGCGCTTCGAGATCCGTATCGCGTATCACCGCACGCTAATAGATCACAGACACGCCTCAGTTGCAAAGCTAATTTACGCGCGAGGCCTTAGCGCGAATTTCATGAGCGCATCGCTCCCGACTAACCCCACAGTACCCGCGTCCGTCCGCGCAAGTCTCACATCCGCCGCGACGCAGGTCCCGCCCGCTACTTCTGCGGCAGAACCGCGTCTTTTAGCTGCTTCGCGATCCGTGCCTTGACGACCGTCTTGGCGGGAATCTCGATCGCCGCGCCCGTGGCCGGGTTGCGGCCCATGCGCTGCTTCCGGTTCTGCACAACCAGCTTTACCATGCCTGGAAGCACGAATTCGCCAGCGCGCTTGAGCTCTTTCTCCGACAGCGCCGTCAACTCGTCAAAGAAGTCGCGGGCTTCGGTCCGCTTCATATTGAAGCGTTCGGCGAAGTGCAAAAAGAGCTCGGACTTGCCCATTCGTCGAGCCTCGGCCATCACGTCCCCCTTTCGATGCGCGCCAACCATCGGCTGCGCTCACGCTGCGTCAAAAACCACGCCAAAATCGCGTAATGCTATCCTGCGGCACGGTGGGTGTCAACGAAAGCGCACAGGCCAGACAGGCGATTATGGCCAAAGTGCTAGACTTTCAGCCTCATGCCGACGACGACGGTGATCGAGACTTTTCCGAATCCGCAGCCTGGGCGGGATTTCGAAATCGCGATCAACTGCCCGGAGTTCACCTCGGTGTGCCCGAAACAGGGCTCCCCGACTTCGGCGAGATTCGTGTGACTTATGTGCCCGGCGAGCAATGCATCGAACTGAAATCGCTGAAGTACTACCTGATCGAGTTCAGGAACCGCGGCATCTTCTATGAGGCTGTGACCAACGAGATCCTCGACGATCTGGTCGCTGCGTGCCAACCACGCCGCATGACCGTGGTCGGCGATTTTGCGCTCCGCGGAGGCATCAAGACCGTCGTCACGGCCTCCTACGAAGCCCGCCAGTAGCCCGGGCCAGGACTTGGGCGTGTGACGTGACCCACCATGTTCCGATCGAAGGCACCATCGACCTCCACGCCTTCAAACCGCGCGACGTCACATCTGTGGTCGAGGAATACGTCAGGGCTGCACATGAAGCCGGACTCCGCGAGATACGTTTGATTCACGGGCGGGGGAAAGGCATCCAACGCGGGATGGTCCAGCAAACACTCGAGCGTCATCCATTGGTGGAAGCATTCTGGGATGCGGCTGAAGCTCACCTGGGCGCCACGGTGGCGCGGCTATACCCATCCGAGCGGCCGGGGGTACGATAGAGACGATGCGAATAGCTTTCGCGACATTCTTGGCGATAGCGACGGCAGCAGTCGTCCTGACGGCCCAGGTGCCGGTCCCTGGCACGGCCGAGGTCGCGCCGAGTGACGTCTCGGCGCCGCCAGCGGATGCCGTCACGAGCGCTTCCGGACTGAGCTCGCGGATGCTCACGCCAGGCACGGGCGAGCAAAAGCCAACGGCCGACGATTTTGTGTCGGTCCACTACACAGGATGGACAGCCGACGGCGTTGTTGTCGACAGCTCCCGGAACCGGAGCACGCCACCGCTGTTTCCGCTCAACCGGTCGCTGGCGGGTTGGCAGGAGTGCGTGCAGCTGATGACGGTCGGCGAAAGTCGGCGATGCTGGCTGCCGCAGAGGCTCGCCTACAACGGTCGCGACGGCCGACCCGCCGGGACGATCGTCTTTGACATCGAACTGCTCGACGTCCGCAGTTCCCCGAAGGTACCGCCGCCCGATGTGGCTGCGCCACCGGACGACGCCATACGCACCGAATCCGGCATTGCCTACAAGGTCGTGAAGCCTGGCACCGGAACGCGGCGGCCCACTCAGGCTGACAGAGTGACCGTGCACTACACGGGTTGGACGGCGAGCGGCAGGATGTTCGACAGTTCAGTGCTGGTCGGCGCGGCGCAAACACTCGCCTTGACTGACGTGATTGCCGGATGGACGGAGGGCATGCAGCTCATGGTGGAGGGCGAGAGAACGCGCTTCTGGATTCCGGAGGAGCTCGCGTACGAAGGCGAGGTCGGCTCTCCGCTCGGCATGCTGGTGTTCGACGTCGACCTGATCCGGATCGAGTAGTACCGGCGCAGGTGGATCAGGACCGCGGGGCAGCGCCCGGCGCGTCTGGCAGTGGGAGGCGGCTCTCAGCGCCATAAGGATCCGCTTCAGCCGCTTCGTGTGTTTCCGCTTTCGCCTTTGGCGAATCGATATCCACGGCGATGCTGAGCCACTTTTGCTGTCGAAAGCGCGCCACACTCAATCCACACCTGGCAACGTGGCCGGCGAGAATCGCCATCCAGATGTATCCCGCCTGCAATCCCGTCGTGGCTTGAAACGCCAGGCAGAGACCGAGGGGGAGGATGACCTGCGATAGGATCGAGATGTACAGCGGGCTGCGCGTGTCTCCGGTCCCCTGCAGGCCACCCGTGTAGCTCAAGGCAACAGTCACGAAGAAGCCCGACACGCTCAGATACCGCAGCAGGAGCGCGCTGAAGCCGATCACCACCGGATCGGTCATGCCGAACACGGCCAACAGATACTGCGGAATCAGCAGGAACATCGCACCCACCACCGCGGCCACGACCAGTCCGATCCGGGACGCCACACGCACGCCTGCGATCGCACGCTCCGGCTTGCCGGCCCCAAGGTTCTGTCCTGCGATCGTGGCAGCTGCACCCATCAAGCCCACCGAGGTCCAGGTAATCAGAGAGAACAGCTCTGTGTAGCTGACCGCGTAGGCCGCCTGCGCCGCAGCGCTCTGATCGAGCGAGCCGATAAATCGCAGGAGCATGAGGCCCCCGACATTCATGGCGATACCTTGCACACCCGTCGGCAGGCCAAATCGAAACAGCGATCGAATGATCGTGAAGTCCACGCGGAGATCCATCTGCCGCTGGAAATGAATGACCGATTCCGGCCGCGTCAGGCGCCAGATGCCGTACGCCGATACGAGCGAGCTGCTGGCAACCGTTCCGTACGCTGCGCCAACCGTGCCAAGCGCCGGAATCAAAACAAGGTTGAATGTGATCGTCAGCACTGTCATCGCCACGCCGAGGCGCAGCGGCGTCTGGGGATCCCCGGCGGCACGGAACGCCCCGCTGAGCATGAAAAACATCATCATGCCGATGAATCCGACGAACATCGTGCGCAGGAATGGGAGCGCTTCGATGTGGACTTCTGGCGCCGCATTCACGAGGTCGAGAAGACTCGGTGCCGCCATCCACCCAGCCGCGCCGAGTACAACGGCCAGTCCAGCCGCTGTCAGAAACGCCTGGTACACCACACGATTGACCTTGTCGGGCTCGTTCGCGCCGGCCAATCGCGCCACGAGCACAGCCATGCCAGTGAGACGCGACGCGCTCGCAACACTATAGACAACGACGATGATCTGCCAGCTCACGCCGATCGCTGCGTTGGCGGTATAGCCGACAAAGTGGCCGACCATCGCGTGGTCGATGATCCCCTGGAGGCCGGCCATCAGATTCTGCAGCATCGTCGGCCACGCCAGGCGCCAGACGGCCGGGCGCAGCGGACCTTCGACGATGGAGCGATCGAACGCCTTTTGTGTGGGAGCGGGGCCGACCATTCAGGTTGTTTCGGTGAAAGTACGGAGTCTATTACGCGTCCGCTTTCGTCGCGCCGACAGCTGACGCCGGGGCGGGGGCCGATTCCAGTGACGATTCGACGGCCTGCTCGACACGATCAAGCCATACGAACTCAAGCTGCATGCGAGCGCCTTCGGGAATGTCCTCGAAGTCCTTCCGGTTCCGCGCCGGCAGCATCACACGCTGAATTCCCGCTCGGTGCGCGGCGATGACCTTCTCCTTGATCCCACCAACGGGCAGAACCAGACCGCGCAGGCTAATCTCGCCGGTCATCGCGGTGTCGCTACGCACGGTGCGGTCGGTCATGAGCGAGGCCAGCGCCATATACATCGCGACACCGGCGCTCGGCCCATCCTTCGGCGTCGCACCCGCGGGCACATGGACGTGAATATCGCCAGTCTCGAACCGATCTTCGTGGATCCCGAGCTGCGCGGCTTGGTTCTTGACCAGGCTCAGCGCCGCCTGTGCGCTCTCCTTCATGACATCACCAAGCTGGCCAGTCAGGATGAGCTTTCCGTGTCCCGGCACACGAGTCGCCTCTATGAACAGAATGTCGCCACCGACAGGCGTCCAGGCCAGACCGGTCGCCACACCTGGCACCGACGTCCGCATCGCCACTTCGCTTTCGAACTGCGGGGGGCCCAGGATCGTACCGAGCGCCTCGCGGCTCACCGAGACTGGGCCGGCGTCGCCCTCGGCGATGCGTACGGCTGTGTGACGCAGCGTCCTGCCGATTTCGCGCTCCAGATTACGGACGCCAGCCTCACGCGTGTATTGCTGAATGATCTCGCTGATCGCTTCGTCGGTGATGTCAACCTGATCCGGCATGAGACCATTGGCTTCCATCTGTCGGCGAACCAGATAACGCCGGGCGATCTGCAGTTTCTCATCGGCCGTGTAGCCAGGCAGGCTGATGACTTCCATGCGATCTCGCAGTGGACCGGGAGTGTTCTCGAGCATATTGGCTGTGGTGAGAAACACCACTCGACTCAGGTCAAACGGCACCCCGAGATAATTGTCGCGGAAGGTATGGTTCTGCTCGGATACGAGACCGTCCAATATAGCGCAGCGCGCTGGGTCACCTGAATACCCGGCTCCGACCGAACTGGTCGAGTCTCGTCGAGCATCAGTCAGCAATTGCGCAAGAACCGGCGTCTTTCGAGAGCTCGCACAGCATGTAAGTTGATGCTGTTTCCCAGGCAGCGTGCGCGAGGTAGGTGCGAGCAGGTGACCGCGAATCTCCGCCTCGTCGTGCACACCGCCAAGACTCACCCGGACGAACTTGCGGTTCATGGCACGGGCGATCGACTGCCCAAGCGAGGAGGGTCTAATTACCACACACAGGCAGGTCCCGCGAAACACAAAATGGGTGCCTTCCCGCTCGGTGCGAGTTTACGGACGGCGAGGTACTCGACAATTCGCCGCTTGATCTTGTCGAGATCATAGTGATCCTCGTCGAGGATCCGCCGTGCCTCGGTGATATCGATTGGGCTCTCTTCCGGCAAACTCCAGGGCAGCTCGGTCAACCAGTCGAGATACGTGTGTACCATGCCAAACTCACCAGCAGACTCAGGCATGCGCTGCAACCGCCGTAGTTCTTTGCGCGCCTGCTCCTCGACCTCCTTCGGCATCTTGGCGTCGGTGATGGCCTGACCGAGATCCGCCATCTCGGCGGCCCGGCCCTCCTCGCCTTCGCCAAGTTGGCGCTGAATAGCGGCCATCTGTTCGCGAAGCAGAGCCTCTCGCTGGCGTTCGTCGAGCGCGGTCCGCGTCTGCGACCAATCTCCTGAGACAACCGCAGCACCTCGATACGGTGCGCGAGCAGAACCGAGACCTTCTCAATGCGAGCGGCGATGTCCACCGTCTCAAGAGCACGGTCTGCTTTTCGGAGCCCGGCGGGCAACGTCACGTCATGTAGCCGCGTCGCGAAATCGCACAGTGTCAGCCGGCGACTCGATCGAGTTTTCGCGCGTGCACTCCCAGTCAACTCGCGCTGTGCTGCCTGTGGCAGCAATTCGATCGCTTCGATGGCTTGCGTTCGAAGATTGAGAAACCGGGCTTCGATTTCAGGTGTGCGAGCAGCGGATTCGGTCTCGCGCACGACACGGGCAACAAGAAATGGCCACCCGCTGAGAAAACTCTGGCAACCGGAGGAGAGGCGGCTGTTCAGTGGATGGGGCGGAAAAAAGGTTGACGGCCTGGGTGGCAGGGTGAATCGGTCGTCGATGTCCCCTGCTGTGTGATGACTGCTGTGTTCGTGAGTGTTTGCTTTGGACTGAATCCCCTGGCAACCAGGGGCCTGTGTACCGTCGGGTGCGGTGACGTAGCGCACGATGTTGGCTACGGTGCCGACCGTATGCATGTCGCCTGGGGCAGGCTCAGACACCTCCGCGTCGCGCTGCATCAGTATTCCGACTTGCTGTCGATCCCGCACCGCCTGCTGAGCTGCCGCGATCGAGCCGGGGCGACCAATCGTGACCGGAAGCACCAGACCAGGAAACAGGACGGTATCTCGCACGGGCACGATGACGAGCGCATCCGACGGCAACGCCGGGCCGGTTGGGGCGTCGGTCGCCGGTGCCTCCTCCTTCGTCTCCCCTGTCTCCATCGTCGCCAGGGTCTTGTCGTCAGTCATGAACGATCCGCCTTCTTCAACGTGACGACAAGGCAGCCATTGATAGCAGCGCAGCGAACGCCGCTGTAGCGGCCAGGCGGTAGCGGCACTCGACGCTGGAAGCGCCCTTGTGGAAGCTCGAGTCGGTGAATGGCCGCCGTACGGAGCTCCGGCGGCAAGACCCGGGTCCCACCGACCACCAGGTAGCCGTCCTCGATCACCGACTCAGCTTGTTCCGGATCGACTCCCGGTAAGGCCACGAGCACCAGGACTTCGTGGTCGGTTTCGAGGATATCGACGGGGGGCTCCCAGGCTGGTGACTCCCCAGGCGACCCTGCGGGCTTGAAGAATTCTCGATGCAGCCGCTCTGCGCGCACCAGCATTTCGCAGGCCTCGGACCACATCCAATCACGCGCGCGGTCGTCCTGGGTCATGTCGATCTCACCATCGGTTCGACGCCTCCCACCGCCCAGTCGCGCTCGGATCTGCTGTCCACCAGCTTGACTGTACTGCGTTCCGCAGTGCGCTGTCTGGCTACTGTGGGGGGCATCGCGGCGGTGCCGAATCCTGTGCCGAGTGCATAGGGGCCGTGCCGAATCCACATGCGATGAGCAACGCCGCAACCCAGAGCGGCGACATCTGTTCTGTCCCTGCGTGTCGTGTCACGTGTTCCCTCCTTCGGCAAACGCCCGTCAGCGCACGTTCAACGGGAACCGTCAACTTGATCACGAGTCTCAGAATCAATCTCAGTAATGGCCGCCCTCGTGTTCCTAGATTAGCGCGGAGTTCACTTGTACTTGGTACTCGGTCGTGGTCGTACTCCTGCGGAGGCAGGAAACTGATGGCTCTGCGTACTCCCTGGATCCACGGACGCTGGTACTGATTGAGATGACTCGGGAGCTACGCCCTCATGAAGTCCGCGCCGCGCGACCAACACTGCGCGTGCGTGCGGAACTGATCGCACATGTCCGGTTTCACGCGAATCGCCGCCACTATGAGTGACTGAACGCGTTGAAGCGGGAGCCGAGGAGGGTGCTATTCCACGAACACGTATACCGCGCCTGATTGTCCAGCGTCGTTGTCGTTCTGGTCGCCGTTGAGGTTTGTGGCAGCGCCACTTTCCATCCGCGTCGATCGTCACGGCGCCCACGGTCGAACTCCACTGCTGCGTCACCTCGCTCACACCGCCACGGAGCTGCCGAACTCGTCGAACGCGTCGGCGTTGGACGCCTTGACATAGGGTCCTGAAGCCACGTAGAGCCCGTACGCGAGAAGATGTACGCGGCGCCGGCGTCCGACGCAGAGTTTGTCGTCTGCTGTCGTCGTTGAACCCCTGCATCACTGTCATTCCTTCCATCGGAGTTCCCACGATCAGCCGGCTGCCATCGCCGCTGAGCGCCAGGCGCCCACGTCGGCGAACTCGCGTCCTCCAGCTCCGGATTCGTCGCCTTGATGAACGCCTGCTCGGTCCACATGTCTCCGTCCCGCACCCAGACATACGCCGCTCCCGCCGAACCGGCCCCCAGGTGCGCGGGAATCGTGTCGATGTCGCATCCTGAAGGATTGACTCCGCCGTTCAGGCAGGACTCGTCCCCGGCACCGGCCGCGATCGTGTTTCCGTCCGCGCTGATCGCCACGGTGTATCCGAGCGCGTCGTTCCGTTGCGATCTTGAACCCTTGAAGTAGCCCGATTGGCTCCACGTGTCGCCCGTGCGGTCGAACGCGTAGATCGCACCGCTTCCGTTCACATCGTTGTCATCCGCGGGATTCACGCCTCTGCCTGAGCCGTCCTCGTCGTAGCCGCCAACCACCATCGAGGCGCCGTCGGCGCTCAGCACGCACGCTCGTAGCCATACAGGATCGCCGCGCCCTGCCGGTATTCGCGACCCTGTCATGTACGCCTGCTGTGCCCAGCTGTTCCCCGCCCGGGCGAACACATAGACGGCGCCGGACGACGTTGCGGAGTCGTCCGACTGGTTCCCCAGTTGACTGCCCGTCAGCGTTACTGTCGCCGTTGGACGCGTCACGGCCCCGTCTGCAGGGAGGGTGTTGCGCGATTGCGTCGTCGCCGCTCAGCGCGATGGCAAAACCGAACTGGTCGCCATCGCGATCGTCCAGCCCACTCGCCTTGCCGGCCCAGCATGTTGGACGCACCTTGAGTGAAGGCGTGCTAATACGCGACCAGGTCTCTCCGCCTCCGTCGCTCACGGGTGAAGACGTAGACGGCACCGGCCTGCGGGAGCGAGTCGTCATCCTGGTCGCCGTTGACTGCACGGCTCCGGTCGCGGCGCTTGCTCCCACGGCGCGGCGACGGCGAGCGTGTTCCCGTCGCTGCTCAGCACGATGCTGAGGCCGAACGTGTCGCTTTGTCCTGCGCTCGACGCCTTGATGTAGGCCTGCTGCATCCAGTCGTCGCCGCTCCGAACGTAGACGTACACTGCGCCGGAGTTGTACAGCGAGTTGTCATCCTGCTTGCCGTTGATACCGCGCGCGGCGCTGCTCTCGTGTGGGGCGCCGATCGCCATCGTGTTGCCGTCGCCACTGATCGCCAGCGCGTTTCCGATGTGCCCTGGCAACGAGCCGCCGCAGGCGAAATGGTCGAACCCGTCCGTGTTCGACGCCTTGAGATAGGCGCTCTGCCTGAGCTGAGCGGCCGGAACAGCTTGCGCCTGTGGCGCCGTTGTTGCTCCGTGCACAATCCCGACAACAACCGCCGCGCCAACCATGAGCATCGCTCGCCGCATTCTGGCCGTCATGGGTACACCCTGAGTTTCTGATGCTGTTACGAGTTCCGCCCGAATATCTACCTGTCGTACACGTGTGTCAAGCCGCGGGATTAGAGATTCGCGACGCGACCCGGTTCCGCCACGGTCGTCGGTGACACGCATAGACCCGTGCGCAACTCAAGGGATCAGCAGCGACGACCCGACGGTCCTGCCGCCCTCCAGATCGGCGTGGGCGCGAGCGGCATCTGCGAGCGCGTATCGCGCACCGATGTGCACCGTGATCACGCCACGGGTCACCATGTCGAAAACCGCGGTGGCCGACGCGACGAGCTCCTCACGGCGGGCAGTGTAGATCACCAGCGTCGGCCGCGTGAAATACAAAGAACCACGCTTCTGGAGCGCGCTCGCCTCCACCGGAGGTGGCGCCCCGGTCGTGGTGCCGAAGGACACGAAGAGCCCCCGCGGCGCCAGGCACGCAATCGAGACGTCGAAGGTGGCCTTGCCGACCGAGTCGTACACGACCGGAACGCCCGCGCCTCCAGTGATTGCCTTCACGCGCTCGACGACATCCTCACTCGTCCGGTCGACGACCTCCTCATAGCCGTGCTCACGCGCGAGCCGACACTTGTCCCCGCCCCCAGCGACGCCGATCATCGTTGCGCCGAGACGGCGGCCCCACTGACCGGCGAGCAGTCCAACACCGCCGGCCGCCGCGTGGAACAGCACGAACTCGCCAGGCTTCACGGCGTGACAGCGGTTGAGCAGGTACTCGACGGTCATGCCCTTGAGCATGACGGCCGCGGCGAGTTCATCGGTCACACCATCGGGAATGACAACGAGTCGCGCGGCCTCCACGTTCCGCTGGCTCGCGTAGGCGCCCGGCGGGCCGCCGGCATACACGACGCGGTCGCCCGCGCTGACGAGGGACACGCCCGGTCCGATCTCCTCGACGATACCGGCAGCCTCGGAGCCGACGCCAGTCGGCATCGGCAGCGGATAGAGGCCGGAGCGGTGATAGACGTCCAGATAATTGAGACCAATCGCCGTTTGGCGCACGCGTACTTCGCCAGGCGCCGGCGCCGGCAGGATGACCGACTCCGGCTTCAGGACGTCAGGCCCGCCAGGAGCGGCGACACGAAGCACGCGAGCCTGCATGTCAGGCGACCCCCGGTCCCGGTTTGACCGGGGCGCGAAGCGACGACCAGACCTGCCAGCCGATGGTGAGCAGTGTCAGCGCGAAGAAGGCCATCGCGACACCGCTTTCGAAGAAGATCTGGTGGCTGCCCTCGCTCAGGATCAGGGCCGTGCGGTACTGCTGTTCCAGTGTCGGCCCCAACACCAGGCCCAGCACGACGGGCGCGAGAGGAATGCGCATCCGTTGCAGAGCGTAGCCGAAGACGCCCACGATCGCCATCAGGTACACGTCGAAGATCGAGTTGCGAATCACGTAGGAGCCGATTCCGCACAGCACGAGGATGCACACCCCGAGTACGTGTGGCGGCACGCGGAGTACACGTACGAACAGGCGGATGCCGACCAATTGAACCAGGAGGATGATGACCCAGGACACAGCGATCGCCATATACAGCGCGTAGATGACGTCGAGGCGTGTCTGGAACAACATCGGCCCCGGCTGCAGTCCGTGCACCAGCAGACCACCAAGAATGATCGCCGTCGCAGGGTCCCCTGGAATACCGAGACTGAGGACCGGAATCAGGGCGCCTCCCATCACTGCGTTGTTGGCCGCCTCCGGCGCCACCACACCTTCGATCGTCCCGGTCCCGAAATCGGCCGGGCGCCGGCTGAAACGACGCGCGTGGTCGTAGGCGAGAAACGAGGCGATCGGTCCGCCGGTGCCGGGTATCGCCCCAATCACCGTGCCGATGGATGAGCTCCGAAGCAAAAGCGACCAGAAGCCAGCGACGCGGCGCCACGGGAACACGGCGCGCACACGCTCAGCTATCGCGGGGCGCTCAACGCGGCCATGATCGACGAACGTGCTGATGACCTGAGGGACCGCGAACAGCGCGATCATCGCGACCAGCATGTTCACGCCCTGCTGGAGCTGCACGGTGCCAAACGTGAGGCGGCTGACACCGTCCAGCTCGTCGAGGCCGATAATCATCACCATCAGTCCGAGCACACCGGCAATCAGGCCGCGAGTCAGAGACCTGTCGGCGAGTCCGCAGATCGTTGACAGGCCGAAGAGCACCAGGGCGAAGATCTCGGCCGGACCGAATCTGATCGCTACCTCCGCGACTTGCTCCAGCAGGAGCATCATCACGACGAGGCTGAACAATCCGCCGAAGGCCGACGCAATGACCGACGCACCCAGCGCGAGGCTCGCGTCGCCCCGGCGCGCCATCGGGTGGCCGTCGAGCACTGTGGCCGCCGCCGAGTGAGTGCCCGGGATGCCGAGCAGGATGGCGGAGACCGCGCCGCCCGTCATTCCCCCCGAGTAGACGCCCAGCAGCAGAGCCATCGCGGGGATCGGTTCCATGCCGAACGTAAACGGCATGATGAGTGCCAGGGCCACCGAGAACGTGAGCCCGGAATCGCGCTGAACACCAGTCCGGCGACAACACCGGCCGCGATGGCCGCCACCGTGCCGGCGCTCAGGGCGGCCGACATCCCCTGCAGCAGCGCGTCCACTAATGGATCCCGGGACCTGACACGACCGGGTGCCCGCCCTTTTCGCCCCGACGGTGGCTAGCAGTCCGTGGTGAAAGTCCGGCGTGGCACCTAACGCGGATTTCACGAGTGCTCTGCTGGCCGCAAGAGGCCATGACCCTCAGCCAGGTACTGCTGAAATCCGCGCTAGACGAGTGAGGCGCCTCGCGAGCAAGGCGCGACGACCGAAAATACCGCCTGTATTTGACGGAGGAGCAACGCAGATCGCGAGGATGCATCACTCGTCGAATGCCGCTGGACTTCCACCACGGGCTGCTAGAGTGCGGAGGCATCGGACTCATGGCCAGACCACCCACGACCCGCTCGGCAGCGGCGTGCCCAGCAACACATCGAAGATCACCCAGCACCCGAGCGTGATGCCGACGGCTAGAGACCCCAGCAACACCCATCGGCGCGCCTGCGCCAGGCCATACATCGCGAGCGCGATCACGATGGGCGTGGCGGCGACAAACCCAATCTTGTCGAGCAGAAACGCGTAGAGGATCAGGAGACCGAACGTGCCGACAGCGAGTCCCACTTCACGGCGTGTGGGCGGCGGCGTGACTGCCGCACGATCTCTGCCCACCGACACAACAGATTGCAGCGTCATGACGACGCCCAGTCCAGCGAGCACCAGCCCGAGCAAGACGGGGAAGGCCCGCGGTCCCGGCTCACCTTCGAATCGCGCGCCAGGGATGTAGGCGTATACGAGCCAGAGCCACGCGACCGCCAGCACCGTCAGCGACGGACCCAGCCAGCGGTCGAGTCGGTCCAGGCGCACTCCGGGCGCGGATTTCATAAGCGCGTAGCTCCGAGTTCACGACCGAGTAGCAGGTACACGTGAAATCCGCGCTGGCGGCCCTTCTATCTCTTGTCTCCGCTATCTCTTCAGGCCGAGTTGAGCCATAAGCCTCCCGATCGCCGCGTCATCGGTGGCAATCACTCTACCGAACTCATTGGCGGGCAGGAACGCGGGCTCGAATCCGAGCGTGGCGCTGAGCTCCCTGAACCGCGGGCTCGCCACAACCCTGCGAACTGCAGTCTCAAGCCTCGCGATGACGTCGTTCGGAGTGCCCATGGGAGCCGCCAGGCCGCGCCACATCACCATGTCGACGTCATAGCCCTGTTCGATGGCCGTCGGCACATCGGGGAGCACCGGAACACGGTCGCGGCTGGTCACGGCGATGACGCGGAGTTGCCTCGCGTCGACCTGGGCCTTGAACTGCGACGGCCACTGCAACGCTGCGTCCACCCGTCCGCCGAGCAATTCCGTTGGCGCGGTGCCCTGCCCGTACGGCACGTAGACGACATCTATGCCGAGCTTGTCGAAGAGCGCCGCCGAAACCAGGTGGATGAAGGAGCCTCGGCCGGAAATACCCACCCTCATCCTCTTCGTCCGGGCAGCCGCGGCAAACTGATCAAGGGTTCGCCAGCTCGAGTCAGCACGCACCGCCAGCGCCGGCACTTCCATACCCACGCGCGCCACCGGCTCGAATGTCCGGTAATCGAAATCGATATTGCCGCTGTGAAACACCGTGCTGATCGAGTTCGAGTTCCACACGATGTCGTAGCCAGTAGGTCGTCTCGACTTCACGTAGGCATAGCCCACCGCGCCGCCCGCGCCGGTGCGGCTCACGGCGGCGACCGGCACCCCAAGCTCCGTAGACATGGCATCGGCCAGTACCTGTGCGATCGTCGCGCTGGAGCCGCCGAAAAGCACCGTCATCTCGACGGCCTGTCGTGGGAACTGTTGTGCGAGCGCCAACCCTGGCGACGCAATCGCGATCAGCACCGTTGCGACTACCGTCGTGCAACGCCGTCGCCCAGCTCGGTTGAGGTCTGTCAGCATGGTCACCTCGTACTCCTACCCGTCAAGTATTTCCGCGATCTCGACGCGCCGCCCTTCGCGCGCCGACGTGATTCCTGCGAGCAGCACAGCCAGCGACGCGGTACCTCTTTCACCGTCCATCTCTGGTCGGCCCGTGCCGCGTACCGCGGTGGCGAATTCGTCGAGTTCCGACACGATGGCGTCCTGGTCCGGACAATCCACCGGGATGGACTGTTTCGACCCGCGCTTCAGGAACCGCAACCCCTGATGAAGGTCGTAGTAGGCGCTCGCTTCCTTGCCGTAAATATTAAGAAGATAGTACTCAGAAGCCGACGCATAGCTGGCGTTTAGCGTCGAGAGCGCACCATTCTCGTGCTCCAGGATCAGGCTGGCGACATCCGGGTTGTCGCCCGGCAACACGAGTTGCCCGAGGCGTCCGCTAACCGCCTTGATGGGGCCCATCAGGTATTCCAGCACATCGGTGTAGTGAATCCCGATCTGCAGCATGACACCGCCTGGCATGCCCGCGGCGGTGTAGCGCCAGGACGTCAGGTCGACCTTTCCCAGCCGGTCTCGGCTGATGTTGGCCTCGGCGTTCACAAGCTTTCCGAACTCCCCGGTGTCGATCTGCTGGCGGATCCAGCGAACCTGACTCTCCCGGCGACGCTGATAGCCAAGCGCCAGGATCACCCCCGCACTGCGGCACGCCTCGGTCAGCCCGCGAGCGTCGGCGATCGTGTTGGCGATCGGTTTGTCGAGGAACACGTGTTTGCCGGCTGCGGCCGCGGCGCGTGTGGTCTCCAGATGTACATCATTGGGCGTTGTGTTGATGACGGCTTCGATCCCGGGGTCGCTGAGCATCTCTTCGTAGCTCGGCGCGGCGTGACAGCCGTACTTCGCCGCGAAGGCGTGCCGCTTCTGCTCGGAGCGCGTGTAACAGGACTCGATGCTGATCGTGTTCGAGCGAGCAATAGCGTCGGCCAGGACATCCGACCACCATCCCATCCCCAGGCAGCCGACCCTGACTGGATCGAAGGTCATACCTTGGACAGCCTCACCGCTTGTCGATCTCGTAGCTGGCGCCGATGGCCTCCACCGCAGCACGAGCGGCGCGGTCATCGAATTCCCAATTCCCGCCCGATACGCCGATGCCGCCGATGCATTCGCCTTCGACGATGATCGGATAGCCGCCCTCCATGGCCGTCCAGCGTTCCGGACCGCAGCCAGCGCCAGCCCGATGGCGTGGGCAGGTGTCGAGCGACTGCGCCTGGGCCCCTTTGGATGTGGTCGGTCGCTTGTTCGAGGCCGCGCAGACCGCCTTGGTCGTTGAAGAGTGCACGGTATGGAAGCGTCCCCCATCCATCCGTTCAATCAGGACGGCATGTCCGCCGGCGTCGACAATCGCCACGGCGATCGCAATGTGCTCCGCTTCGGCGAGACCGATTGCCGTTGCCATCATCTCTCGAGCGCCTGCGAGTGTCAGGCGCCGGGCCTGAGCTACGTACATCCTTGACCTCCTGCTGGAGCGGCATGTTGCATTCGTGCCCCCGGCCCAGTCACACGTTGTCGCGGCGAGACGGGATTCGTACCGGCTGCGAGCCGGCGGAGAGGAGCTAGGATACCCGACTTAAACACGGAACCGGATATCCTCCGGTCT